GACAGTAGTGTCCTGAGGCAACTGGTGATGGTCGATGAAGTCACGGGTAAGCAGGAAGGTCTGCCCGGACAACTCAAGGATTTGCTGCCTTGCCGCAAGTGGCGCCTTGACAATGCATTGGATCTGCTGTTCACCCTTGGGTGCACCTGGGTGCTTGTTGGTGCGCAGGCCATAATAAGTGAGATTGGCCGCGTGGCTGGGCACAAGCTGGTGCATGTGTTGGCGGAGGGTATTCAGTGGTTGCTCTGCGGTTTTGTCAAAATCCTGCTTGCTCATGAGGCGGGAGTCTGCCTCAAGGACAATCTCAGCAATTGCTGCAGTTGTCATTTTCAGCTTGGGTGCCGCGAGCTGGTAGGTGATTTTCCCTGCCGCAACATGCAGCATGGCCAGGCGCTTGTATGTTGTCTTGGACAGAGGATCATCAAGTGTGATCTCATGTGGTCCTGTGAACTCTTGGAAGAGCCCTGGCGGCTTTGTGCCGTCGACCGTGGGTATGATGATGGCGAGGTCAAGAGTTCCAGCTGCCTTGATGAGGTCACCAACATGGGTTTTTGTAGCTAGCACAACACCAGCCCGAGACTGTGAGACTTGAAGTCGGTGCACCTGCTGGAGCGGCTTACCATCCCCTCCCACAAAGGGAATTGGTTCCTGGAATGACAAATCTTCCCACTTTGATTGTGTGGGTTTGGCAGATTTGTGAAGCCACGGGTCATTGATGGTGAGAATGTCGACCTTTCCAGTGGGTGGAGTGGCTTTGCTCTTGGCGTGTGCTGATGCTGTACCGGCCGTGTCCATGGGAACCGGATCTTGTGTACCTGCTGCAATGTAGGTGTCAGGGAAGTGGTTCCTGGTAACTCTGAGAAGGAACCAGTGCCGTGCGTGCAGTGCAAAGTCCCTGAGGACCGGGTGAGCACCAGCTGCGTGCCACCGGGCAACAACCGTCTGTGTGATATGCAGAATGGGCGCGGAGTGTGGTCCAGTTCGCAGCTCCAGGTGCTGTGCGACGCTGAGTGTTGGCAGGTCGATGCCCAGTCTCATATAGAGAGCATGGATGAGTTGCTGCCCACACATGCCAGGTGGGTGATGTTGCTGGATCGCATGAACTGTGAAATTGCCCTGGTTGTAGCCAAATTCAGCTCTCAGTTGCTGGACGAGCGGGCTTAAGCGCTCATTGGATGCCTGAGGAGCCGTGAGGTAGAAGAACGCTTGATGGCCACTTTTGTAGCATTCCGCTTGGATCCAATGGTTGCTGTCTTCGATGAGCCAAATGATGTGCCCATAAGGGTCATAGACCGGGTTGGGAGCATCAAGAAAGACCAGTGTATCCATGGAGCTGTCCCATGTCGCTGGTGGGCAGAAGAGAACTTCTGGCAAGAGTGACCGAGGGCCTTCAAGGATGAAGTCTATCTCATCAAAATGCATCCACACTGGGTTGAGGTGGATATGGAGCAGTCTGGTGTTGACACGGTGCTGGATCTGATCGCCGGAGGCTATCTGCGGGTGCACCACGTGTTGTGGTGGTCTGTAGCCAATGGGATGGCTGGTTTCCAGCGGTCTTTGGTTGGCAATCCTCCCATTGTTGGTGGTTCTGCGCAAAACGGACATAAAGAAGCTCCTTCTGACCCAGAAAGCCAGCTGGGCAACAGAGCTGGTGGTGCCAGTGGTCCCCCAATCTTCAACGGCAGCTTGAAGGACAATGTCAATGACATCCCTCTGGTCAGCTGTCATGGGATTGTGTGTTGGTGCTGCTGCAAGGGTGTCGTGCTGGTCCTGGTGATGGGCCCAACGGTGTAGGAGTTCCCAGCCGCACATGTGTTGTGTCCACTGTGTGTCATGGTGCAGTATCTGCATTCTGTGCGGCCCAATGTCGAGTGCCCTGGCAACGATCATGATGATCCTTGCGTGTAAATGTGGCGGCACTTGAACGGTGACAACCTGGGTGTGTTGGTCATCCTTGGTGATCTCAATGCCACACCAGTGATCTCCAGCCAAAATGGGGATATACGTTGCTCCTGCAGGTTGGATGGTCAACGGCCCAAAGGGACTTTCGTCAAAATCAGACTGTGTGATGTCCCAATATGCTGGTGGGGAAAAGTGGGGGCTGCCTGGTGTAGCCCACTGCAAGAGTTGCGTTGCAAAGACCATTTCATCAGCTGCCATCCATCCGTGCGTGTTGGTGGCGAACTCCGCCCTCTGGTTGAAGGTGGCATCTGCCGGGAGTGATGGTGCTCTGCCATCAGCAAGGTGATGTCCACCTGCTTTGATCGTGGGCATAGGCTGTGTGTGAAGCAGGAAACCATGTTGCAGCTTGGACTGGTTTGGAAAGTTGGGAATCCCTTCAACTCGGAAAATGCTTTGGACAGTACCATCAAGGAGGAAGGTGTGTGTGGCATCTGCTGGAAGTTCCAGCTTGCAAGCCCAAAGTGAGGCACTTCCCTTTGGCTGAATGAAGACTGTAGCATGACTACTTGCTCGGTGAGTTGACACCGGAGTCAGTGAGAGCAAGAGGACATCTTGTGGGTAGCCAGCTTGACCACAATAGTCAGTAGAGACAGTGGAGAGGCTTTGGATAGCCGCACAGAGCAAAGCACGTTGCTGAGGCAACATCGAACAGGCAAAAGTGACCCCAAGATCGGGGATAGTGAGCAAAAAATTCCACATTTGCCCACCCTCGACATCAAACCCTTGCTCAATGATTTGCCAGATGCCAAGATCAACGAGAGTCTCCATGGTGGAGTCGAAATCGGCCTGTGCAACAACTGAGGTCTTGGCGGTCTGATCGGCGGCCTGTGGCTCCCATTCAAGGGTCGGAGGAAACGGATCGGAAAGATCCCCACCCGCAATTTCAATCTCACCGACTGGGGTGCCTTGAATGGTCAAAGTCCAAACAGTCTGAATGGAAAAGACCTCAGCAACAGTACATGATAAGTCCATTGTCTGTGAGGCCCCAACCAACATGAAAGCGTGGATGACGTCTCGAGGCCCTGCCAAAGCGGTGCAAAAGACCTGACCTAGGGATTGTGACCCCTGCGCAGTGACTTCAAGAGGAGGGTGATCACCAAGGAACTTGAGCTCAATTTGAAAAGGTCCTTGTGGAGGCCCATGAATCTTCTGCAACAGAGAGGGTGCTGCTGTGATCCTGATCACATGGACGAAACTGCCAACTTGGCACACAATGGCATTGGTCGCAGACAGACGGTCATGCCAACACTTCTGCACGAGTTCATGGATGGATAAACCTTCTGGCAGGACGGCAAGAAATCCAAGGATCACCGGAAGCAGTGCATGGGGTGTGGCTATTGCATTGCCGAGGTACTTGAAAGCTTCATGCACCTTAGTGGGCAGAATACGATCTTCGGTGGCTCCCAACAGAGAAACGAATCTCGCAGGATCAAAGAAAGCGATCCCTTCAGGGAGCAGCTGCAAAAAGGCGAAAACTCCCTTGGCTTCAACATGACGACGATCTAAGAGGTGCTGAGTAGTGTATGATGCGCATAGTGTCGGCAGGGGCTCAGATTCCTTGGGGTACCGAGCCCACAGCACCTGATCACATGTTGGGGTGCTTTGGCCAAAAGCATGCTTCTTTGCACTCGGAAGGAACTGTGGATCGCCATAAAATTCCTTTTCAGAGTCTGAGAGAAGGAGCTGCTCCTTCCACACCTGTGGGATGTGAAAATCAAATTCCATGTCATGCCACCGTTGCCTCGGCATAGTGCTTGGCGTAATCTTTGCATCATAAAACCGGGCACTCACGTCAGCTCTCACCCAAGTCGCAAGCCAGCGGGTTCTCATCTGAGGTGAGAGATGATTCAATGGCGTCACCTGAGACCAGATCAATTTGAATCCAAGGTGCTTGGCAATGTGCATGATCATCTCATAGTGTTCATGGCTCACGATTTCATCTGCACATTCAGCAGTCAAAATGATGACCTGAAGTTTAAAGGCGAGAATGAGGCCGCTCACAAATGCCCAACCATTGTCACAAGACAACCCCAGGCGCTTGCCGCCCTTGGACCAAGGTTGGCACGGAGGGCTCATGGTACCCATGGAATTAACTTGGGCTTGACAAAGCGCAACAATGGTTGGGTCCCCAACAGCCGCATGGATGCCAACATGGGTCGATGCAATCCAGTCCTGGTCGTAGGGCAGCGGGGCCTTAACCGCCTTCGTTCCATGCAGTTGTTCCCAAATCTCAATCACTCCTTCATCAGCATCAATGGAAGTGTGCTGCCCAAACAAAACAGGGGTGTTCTGCTCAGAAAGCCACTTAGTAGCCATTTCCCAACCACCAAAAGCCCCAGCAAACAAATGGTAGGCGGACCAAGCCATTTCAACCTGCAGTTCGGGTCTGGGTGTGATCCCCACTTGATGGCCTGATGCACGAAACTCGTGTTCAGAAACTTGCACCATCTTGCCAGAGCAAACCACCATTGCCCCAATGCACAAAGCAACCGACCGAGAAGCGAGGTCCGGAATAGAGATCTTGCAGTGCCTACAATCACTCGAATCCAGAACAAAGCCACGGCCAGGAACAAATGGTGCCACCATCAAATGAAGCTCATGAGGCCCAAACTCACAGACCTCGCCAGCAATCACCATGGAGCCTTCCACCACTGGGCAGTACGAAGTGGTCGCAACTGCATGCAGAAGAGCTCTCAGCAAGCCAGCAAAGGGTTCCTTTATACCCTCAGGAAACGGTATGGTCGCCATGGCTCACAGAACCAAAAAAGAACCACCGGAACACTTTGGCCACACCGATGGCAGGTTGCCAGTGAGGCAACCCTTTTGGATGCTGCGCCTGTCACTTAGGATGACAGCTCGCAGCCCTGGAGGGCCTGTCCCCCTCGAGACCCTAGGCTTTGGGCCAGAAGGTCTGTATACCATTGTATACATGCATGAGGCTACATCAATGGATCCCAACTCTCCACTGATACAGTAGATCTGATGTCCACATGGATCAGGGCTGGTCGTAGAGATGTCAATTCTTGCATCAAAGAGTCTGGTATGTGTACATCTGCCATTCGAGACCTCAGCTCATTCGGGCAGGTCCGGGTAGGTATCAGGAAGCAGATGGCAAGTGACAAAAGCCGAGCAAGTCGGAAAGTAGTTTTGTTGCCAAATCAAGTCAGATTTCACTCCAAACATCAGACCCCGGAAATGTGGTGGGTTCAAACTTCCCTCCCCACTCTCCGTGGGCTTCCACACCCAATGCTTCCCGGCTGTGCTATCGTGTTCTATCCAGCCCAGCGGCAGCAGTAGCCATGGAAGCTGGTGGCCGCTAAGATCAGCCCCGAGCTGGGCGTGTCGAGCCGGTGGATGAAGCCTTTCCCAAAGTCCACTGAGTCCACCATGGTGTTCTCTGGCAGACCTCACGAATTTCCATCTGAACCAATGGTCAGATGTTGTGCTTCGGTTTGTGGCACATTCGCCGAGCCACAACAAGAGAAAACCAAGACTAAATCCACTACACTCGAGGACCAAGAAGAAAAAGAAGAAGGAGGAGGAAAGGAGGAGAGGAGAAGCAACAGTCAGTTCATTGATGCAGGCAATCATCCTAGGTTGGAGGCCATCGCTACTAGGTGGGAGGCCATCGCAAGTAGGTTGGAGGCCATCGGTTCCTTGTGCTATTAGGTTGGAGGCCCACTGCCAGCCACAGGACAGCAAATCTTGCAGCAAAGCCGCAGCCTCGCAAGAAGCCTGAGAGCGGCGGCAAACCCGATTGGCCCTGGCAGGGGTAGCTGTCAAGAGGAGCCGAGGCAGGGCTCGAGTCCAGCTAGGAAGCTTGCAGTAGTTGAATGATCCAACTCTACTTGCATCACAACCTATTCAACGTATTCAGGATTCAAAAGCAACTTCCAGTTGCAAAGACCTCTGCCAATGCCTCAACACTTCAATGCGGAACATCCATACATCCATCCATGCAAAATATCCGAACCGGTCCAAAACTGTGCCTCGCTGTCCACTTCCCATCCCGCAGGCTTCATCACCAAGCACATGCCCCTCATCACGCTCACAAGGCTTGGCTGTGGCTCAGCGGTGGGTGGGGCGGGTCCACTGCTTCGCTGGCCCCCAGCGGCGACCCTGAAGGTGGAGCCCCAGTGCATCAAAACCTCCTGGTGGGAGCTGCACGGGCAGGATTTGGAGTGTCAATCGTGTTTCTTTCTGTACCACTTAGGTTTTTGGACTCCTGCGTGGCTTGCACAAGTGAAAGGCCCTGTCCTGAGCAACTTGTAGCAGTTGTTGGTCAGATTGCTGCATGAATGTGTAGGACCAGGCCAACGCACACACATTCACCAGCAGTCTCGAGTTGCCAGGATCCTCCGCCCTCAACAGCTCCTGCGCCCGACGGGCCATGAAGTCATGAAGCGGGTGATGACACACCGAGATGGTGGCAAATGACCATGCGACATTGGCCAACTGCTGCATAGTGAGCTGATCCATCAGCACGGCAGCTCGTCCACACAAGGCCTCCAGTAGTGGCGGATCCTGCAGCACCACAGATGTAAAGGACCAGAAGCTGTTGGACACATTCTGTGCGTCAAATGCCTCAATGAGGCCAATGGCTTGCCGACCTGCAGCTTCAAACAGCGGATCATCCAAGGTCAGCAGCGTTGCAAAGGTCCAAAGCACATTGGAGAGCTCCTGTGGGTCGAGCTCCTGGAGGGTCCTGCAGGTCACCTGGGCCAAGCTGGACATCAAAGGCTCCTGCACCACACCAACTTTGCCGAACCTTGGGAGGCGCAGGCTCCAACTTTACGTATATATTTAGGACCTTTTCTTGAACCCTTTGCTCCTTGGGTGGTGTGTTTTGGATGTCTTGAGGAGAAAGAGCCATGCCAAACTTCACACGGGGCCCGCGAAATGCTTGTCGGCCTGAAATCAGCTCAGAAACGCCCACGCACTGTTGGCTGCCTCCTGAGGTCCAAATTCATCTGCTAGCTTGATGCAGCGAGCCCCCAGCGCATGAAGCAAAGGCAGGAGGCGCACCTGTTGAGAGTCCACAGTCTACATCTTCGCAGGCTAAAACCCATGAAATGCCTAAAGCAAGCAGTCTGAAACAAACACATCCACTTCACCCCTTTTCCCCCGCTCATAGCTCCATGGTAGCTCTCATCCCCAGAGCCTGCAAGCAGCCCAAGCCCCAGGAGATGTTCGCTAAGTGCTGCGGCCTCAGCTGCTCAACTTTCTGCAGGGTGCGCTCGCCTAAAGCATCCAGCAATGGCTCGTGGAGAAGACCCAGCGCAGCAAGCGCCCAAAACATGAGCGAGAGGTCCTCCAAAGGTCTGGTAACTGGTACCAACGAAAGTCAATGAAAAAGTTCAGGAGTCGAGGGGGCGAGCTGGCTACACTCACAATGAGAAAGCACATGAACTGATGCCACCCCATGCCTGGCATGGAGCTGTCCCATCTGCTGATCCGAAGGCGTCAATCTTCTCCATCGCCACCTCCACGATGGCCGTCAGGACACAGTCATCTCTCCAGGCCAATACTCCACAGGCCCACGCCGTCAGCGCCAAATGCTGCGGCTCGAACGCTCCACATCGAAGCTGCACCCGGCGCAGCAGGGCCTCCCACATCGAGCCACGCGAGGCTAAAGTCGCGAACACCCAGGTGAGACTGGAGAGGTCCTGGGCACTGTACTGGGGCAGCTGCTCAAACACCGCATGCTGCGTGGAGCGCCACAAGGGTTCCTGAAAAAACGACAGCTTCGCAAAGGCCCAAGCACTGTTGACCACTTCTTGGATGGGCCACTGTGACAGCTGGGGGGGCAGCGTGGGATGCAATGGCGTGCATGAAGGGGACGTCGGCCATGACCAGCCTCGTCAACCCTCAGACCTTGGCTGTGGGTGACGGCCGCAAATCAGGTGTATGATGTTGCACGACGAATGCGCACGGCTGTAGAAAATGAAAAACAAAAAGTATTGAAGTGGCGTAGCCAATCAAAGAAGGGCGACAGTATTGGAGATGTTCTGAGGGCTGAAGTGCCGCAACTTCGTGGCCTCCAGCTGGTGTGTCAAGCTGGGCCCCTCCAAGCGCAACACTCCGAAGCCCCACAAGGTGTTCGAAAAGCCTTGTGGTCGTAGCTCTGTGCAAAGCTTCTAGGCTTCCACCTCCATGTCTTTCAACAACCGCTCATCCTGTGCGCACAAGCTGGGGAAGTGTCCAACCCGCCAAGTGAAATGTCCGAAAACTCTTTGCCTGCCACTTTGGCCAAGTCACCTGGTAGGAAAGCACTGCAATCGCCCAGGCAGAGTTGGACAAAAATCTCGCTGAGCAGCCAGGCAGGAAGCGTTACCAACACCGCAACAGCTGGGCAAATCGTGGGTCCCTGGGCAGCGAGTCTGGCAGGTGTCGCAATGCCGAAGCTGAATCTTCCCCTTTCCAAAAATGCACCACGTTCTTGGTCTTACATCAGATTGCTGTCTTGCCCTCGTTGTCTTTTGAGTGGCCCTTGATTTCCGGGCAAAGCCATGCAGAAGTAAATCGCGCTGTCAACATGGCTCTGTAGGGCCAACACCAACCGTCAGCCAACCACTTCCACCCTTCTCCGCCCCATCTCTCCTGGCCTCTGCTCTACTACAGTTGTTCCCAGCTTGGCCAAGCGGTGCAGCGCTGTGCTCAGCTGCACTGCACTTAGTTCCGTGGCGCGTTCCCCGCAAAGCCGCAGTAGCCCAGCTGCCCCTTGCTGACAGGCGATCCTCCAGATTTGGGGCTATCGTGGCAGCACTGGCCACACTCCTATCCCACAAGGACCAACTTCAAAGAGTTTTGAAGAAGAAAATCTCTGCCCCAATTGAGAGTATATCTCCATCACAACCAGGGCAAAAAGTCTAAATTTGCATGATTCTTGAACCATTCAGTCCGTCTAGAATTCCTCTGCTAAAACCACTTGGCCACCCAGCACTGCGTTCCACTGCCGCTCAATCGTGGCCGACGGGTCGCGGCGCCGCAAGCTGGTCACTCGGAGCGTGGCGCGGTCGGACGAAGCCATCAGCCATGCCGCGGTCAGAGCGCGTAGGGTGACCGTGACACCAGTGACCGACCGGTGGAGCGTCCCCCGGCCCCCCAGAGACCGAACACCTGTGGAGTGTCCAACTGCTTCTGGCCTGTGGAAGACCTTGGACCAATGTGTGGCCTTCAAAGGAGGGTTTTGTGTCTATGTCCTGCTCCTGTCTGCGAAATGTCTTGGAAAGTGTCCACACACATTGCGGATGAACCTGGCCGGCGATTGGCATCACGATTGATCACGCCTGAAGCATCAAAGGGCACTTGTCACCTGTCGACAATCCGAGTCAACGACTGGCACCTGTCCAATCCCTATGGGATCAGTCCTGATGTGCTTGAGGCAATCTGGAATGACACCCTTCTAGTTCACCGAGATCAAAGCTTACCACCCTCACTTGCAACACCCCGTTTTTCAAATGCACAAGAAGTCGCCAACACCTAAAGCTTGTGTGTCACCAAGAGGCCTTCACGGTTTCCAGCCATGCTCCGAACTACGGCCGTGGTGACCAAAGCCTCAAGTTCAAGTTTATCTTCTTCAACCAACAATTCTGGAGGGTAGTCCAGTAGAAGACCTATATATATCAGATTATATCAGAAACAATAAGCTAGTAGAAACAAGTGCATCGCTTCTAGTAACAAGTGCCTTACTAGTAGTAACAAGAAGCTATTAGAAACATCCAGATTGCAGTCAAGAATCGATCCTCACAATGTCCAGGTTGTTCCAGGTCGAGAAGTAGTTCATCACCACGCTCAAGTTCGCCCAAGTCCCTTTCCTTTCCTGACCAGGAGCAGGGCATGTGCACACATCATCAGTCCTTTTTCAGTAAACGGGCAAAATGAAGAACAACTATTGACCCCATTGCAACATCTCGCAACATCTCCTTCCGCAAACCAATTGGTGTAGGCCGGTGAAAGGACATCTTTGTACTACGTCTGCGACCACATGGGCGAACCAAAAACAAAGCCGTGTGGACGGGCCGGGCTGCAGACTCGGAGAACCTCTCAGCCAAGACCCCAAACGACTGGACCCAACTGGGAGAACGAAACTGCAGATTTGCGGCTGAGGCTCCCCCCCTCGGTAGCTCGTAGCAAAACTGTTTCAGCTCCTGGAGGTGCTACAACGTTGTGCATGGACGGGCTCAATCAAAGTGCTGACACTAACTGGCTCTAATCTCTTCAAAAAGATCTACACTGCTTTCAAGATCCCACCAGCTACACAGTAAGATTCTGGTGAACGCCGCACCTGGCAACGAAAGCTCCTGCACCGCCAATGCACAAAATGGTGAAGTCATCTGGGTCCCAAACATCCAACACACGGGAAGCTGACAGGAACAAGCTTGGAAGCGCAGCCCAAAGCGTCCTCCAGCCCCTCTCCAGCCCAGACCGTCCTCTAGCAAGAAAAAGACTTGAAGGATGATCAGCACGACCTGCAGAGACATCTGCACAAACATGTCCCTATTACACCAGGAGAAAAGCAAATGTCGAATTCACGAAGTGAAAATTATAGATTTTGTATGAACTGGCTCTCCGTCATTTAAGCTATCTTTAGTTGATTTTAAGGATTTTTTGAGAGATGGGCCAAATCTTAACTTTAAAGTTTTATGTTATCATAGATCTCACAGCATGTTTCTTGAATTGCAAAGTTGGTGGCAAAGTGTTCGCCAGCGCGGCCAGAGGACAGCAGGACGACAAGAGAAGGACACAGGGTTCGCACAGGAGGACACCAAGAGGGCAAAAGGAGGACACATGGTTTGCTAGCGTGGCCAAGGGACAGGAGGAGGACAAGAGGGGGGGCACGGGCTGGACACAGGGTTCAGGGGCGCCAAAGACTGTGGCGGGTGTGCGTTTTTCTAAGCAAGAACCCCAACAGTAAACTGTTTGGGGAACTGATCTGAAGAACAACTGGAAAGGACTCTGTGTACCAGAAATGTTGCTCCTCATTGTGCGCCCTGTCTTGGTCATCCACCCAAGCCCCCGATGTGCCAAGCGGCGCCGAATATCCAAAAGGCCACACCTGGTCGAGCCAGAGAACCGGGGGCTTAAGCATGGCACTGGAGTTGCTGACATTTTTTGTGAAATGTTACAAATGGGCAGCATGTTTTCAGGTGCCATCCGTGTGTGTGTGCCCCTTGTAATCACAGGGATCCAGTCGGATTGTGCTTTCTTCTTTTTCCTTTTGTTTTAAGCAGGGGGACCAGGCATCTTGCTGCTGACCTGGTCTAACAAAGCTAGGCAGCAAGATGGGATTCTGGAGTTGGCCACTCCAGCGTACCTGCGATTCTTTTCAAGTGGCATGAGGCTAAGCCCAGAACCTCGAAGACATGGTGTTGCATAGGGCTTTGGTTTTGATTTGCAGATGTGAGCGGACGACGTCATTCTGTCGGTCGATCGTTCGGTGGTCTCTTTAGACTCTATGGCCTTGCTGAACCTGTTGGACCTCCACTTCCTTTTCAGGTTTCCTCACCGGTACCCTTAGGAAATGGAACCCTAGGCCGGCGTGTGGCACCGCTGTCAAGTCAGTACGCATATCCATAAGTGTGTTTGGCTTCGTGCCAACCCGGGATGAGCCCGTAGAGTGCCTCCCGTGGACCCGTCGAACGGGGGTTTGTTGTTATCTCCCCTGCCCGGAGATGTAAGTGTCCGGAGCGGACAGCAGATGGCTTACGCCACAAGAAGTGGGATGTTTGTCTCATTTTTGGAGTTCCAAGTTGGCTCATGCCTTTACGTGACCGCAGCGGTCCAAGCTGGCTTACCGCCTCAACGTGGTCAGAGCGACCGAAGTACTTTTGAGGTTCATTGGAACCTGTCGCGACCTTGGGTGCACACACAGCGTGTACATTGAAACGAAGGAGGTCACCTAGGTCGTTGCAATGAGGTTTGGTCTCATCGGTTTTCGTCCCCTCCATTTGGTTCCCCTTTCATCCCTTCCCCTTCACTCACTTTTGTTTCCTCTTTTCTTTCATGTCCTCCTGTCTTCATGTCTGGTCATCTCATCCTTTTCTTCGTTTGCGCGCACATTGGTCCCGACCTTAGTGTGTACGTGCACTTCTACATACATTTTCACACAGGTTTCAGGTCGCCCAGGTCTTGACAATGAGGTGGGCTTCATCGAGTGTCCCTGTGCACTTGGTTCCCTCTTCATTTCCACCACACACACCTTTGTCCCGTCTCGTCCTCCTGTCATGTCTTCATTCTTTTGTCTCTTGTGCGCGCACACGTGCACATTTGCCCTCACCTTAGCTCGACGCCTCCCCT